AAAAAAAAAAAACAAGGAATCGATAAGACGGATCCTATAATTTTGGTTGACAAACATTATAACAAGCACTTCCAGACTATTTGATACCGGTTATTGGTGGGGTGTAGAAGACAACGACCGATGTTTACTGCCTAGTCTACTGAGGTTGAAAAATTTCATTTTTCACTAATATATACCGCTAATACACTGTGATCTGATTTAGCAAAATAAAATTTGTTATAGTTTAAGCAATGTAGTAGATTTCAGTGTTGGATTAAGAAATATATTAAATTACTGTTAATAAAAGAGACGTTTATAAGTGGAGGAAAGCATTGGTCTTATATCAGTTTTATCAATAAACAATTTAGTTATAAACAGAAGAAACAGAAAAAAAAAAAAAAACTTACATATGATGATTATTGACAATTTCGTTGGATGTCATCGTACAGCAATAGTAGTAGCAGCAACAACAGCAGCAGCAGTAGCAGTAGCAGATATAATCGTTTTTCCTTTTCCTTTCTCTTTTTTTTTTTTTTTTTTCTAGATTCTGTTATAACGATGTTGAATTTTTAAGTGAAATATTCAAAGTACTGGACAGGATCAACTTTTCTTTTTTTTTCTCTCTTTTTTTTGCTTTGTTGCTATAGAAATTCTATTCCAATGAACAGTATTTGCTAAAACGAAAAAGTGAAAGAACAACAACAACAACAACAACAAGAAAAAAAAAGAGAAAACAGGACTTGGCAATATTTCACAGTATTATAGGAACAAGTTTAAGCATCATTGATTAAGCAAATTTTTTCTTATATATCCATAGTAGCAATAAATTTTTCCCCCCCGAAAAACTACAACAACAACCAATAATATTTAAAAAAATTTTCATGAAATGATTATAAAATATATATTTTGATTAAAAAAACTCCCCCCCCTCCCCTCCCCTCCCCCCCTTCCCTAATAAGTAACCTCACAATCCCTGTTTTTAAACTGTAAAAATCTGCAACAACAGGCAGCAACTAGCCAAAAAAAAAAAAAATAAAGTTCTGCAACAATGTTTGTGGAATAAAAATGACAACTGTCATACCCAACATAGAAAATTTGGTTGACAGAATTGGACGAAAAAAAAGAAAAAAGAAAAAAAAAAGAGAGAGAGAGAAGAATAATATAGTCAAAAATTTTTTGATCCTTCAACAACAATTGGTTTGGCAATTTTTTTTTTTTCAAATTCAACAATCATAACAGTTATTTAGTTTTTTTTTCTTTTCTTTTTTTTTTTTTGGCAAAATATGTATAACTGTTGTTTATATGTGTTTGAGAGTATATTTGGTTTGATAATAAAATGTATATTGTTGCCAAATGGTGACAACAATAACCAAAAAGTTTCAAGGAGGAGGGGGTGTGTTAGCCAAAAAATTTGTTCTTCACTGATATTACCTCTGATATAAAACAACATTTTACAATCAACTAATTGCCTGCCCTTTTCTTCCTTCTTCTTCCTCCTCTTCCTCTTCTCCTTTATCCTCTTTCATCTTTTCATCTTTGATTATCATACATTGAATGTTATTGTTTTAAAAGAAAATCTAAAAAGCAATAAAAACTAGGAAACAGTGTTGCTTTAAGCCTCGTTTACGCGTAAAGATA